GCCGAGCCAGTACAATCTTGTATGATTGGTTCATTTCACATAGCATCATGTCCTCAATGTTTATTTATATTCCAGCATGTGTCAGAATTTCCTTCCCTTTTAAGCTATATAATATTCCACCATATGTATGTCTCCCATTTTGCTTATTCTTCCTTGGATGGACACTTTGTTTCCACTGTTTGGCTGTTGTGGATAATGCTGCTAAGAATATGGTTATACAAATATCAGAGACTGCTTTCAGTTCTTTGCATATACTCAGAAATGGTATTGCTAGGTCATGAGGGAATTCAACTTTTTATTTTTTGAGGAAACTGCTATACTGTTTTCCACAGGAGCTGCGCCATTTCACATTAACATCAATAGTGCACAGGGTTCTAATGTCTCCACATCCTCTCTATCCTGATGGGTATGAATTGTCATCTTACTGTGTTTTGACTTCTGTTCCCCTTTAAGTGCTTTCTGGCCTTTTGTACATCTTTGGTGGGGAAATGTCTATCACTGTCTAATACTTCTAAAACACGTTTATCATTCCAAAAGCAACTCCTGTACCCATTAAGCAGTCTTCCTTATATTCTGCAACCAGCCCCTTGCCACCACCAATCTGCCTTCTATCTCCATGACTTTTGTGACTACTGTGTAGACAAAATTAAGTAATGACTCAAACTGACCATTATTTTCATTCAGTTGTTAGCCTTTAAGTTGCAAAGATAACTATGTTAGAAAAAGTAGGCTTTAAATTGGAAACATTTTGGAAGGAAGATGTATATGGTGGAATACTGTAATCTCCTATGCATAAGGTATCAAAAATGTCCAATATGTAAGGTACCAATTATACCTAAACATTACACTGATGATGGAGACCTTTTCTAATTCACTGGGCTGAGAATGAGCACAGTAAATAAATTCTCAAATCCAACAAAATCTCCATCTGAAAGTCCCGACAACTCATGTACATATTCCTACATAAGTAATATCTTAGAAGCTGTTAGAGAAATACTCTGGAAAACCAGTAACAGTTTCTTACCAATAGGGTATCTGGAAATATCAGCAATTGAGCAGTCAGAAATAATACAGAGGAATAATTGATGGTGATTCTGTGTGTTGTAATGAAACACTAATGATGAGAAAATTATAGTAAAAGGCTGAGCGTGATGGCTCACACCTGTAATCCTAGCACTCTGGGATGCCAAGGCAGTGGATAGCATGAGGTCAGGAGTTTGAGACCAGCTTGAGCAAGAGGGAGACCTTGTCTCTCAAAGAAACTGGTCATTGTGGAGGGCACCTGTAGTCCCAGCTACTTGGGAAGCTGAGGCAAGAGGATTGCTTAAGCCCAAGAGTTTGAGGTTGCTGTGAGCTATGACACTCTGGCACTCTACAAATAACAAAGGGAGACACTGTCTCAAAAAGTTATAATAAGAAAGAGTTAGGATTCATTTAGGATAAAGACAAATGCTCTCCTTTCAAAAACAAATTAGAGCACAGCTTAAAGTCATTATTTTATAGTATCCAACCTAAGGACACACACAGTAAAGCTTACCACATCATGATAAAAAGAGTTGTTATCCCTGGCTTATTTTCTTAACTGAAGCAAGTCACCTCACTCTAGAGCCATTTACTTGCCTATAAAATAATGGGGTTGGTGTCTCCTCATAATGCATCTTTTAGCTCTAACACTGTGTTAATATTGACACCTTCATCTGTGATCAAAAAACAGTAACACTGGCTCGGCGCCTGTGGCTCAAGCGGCTAGGGC